TCTTCTCTTCACTAGAATGAATAACCAAAAGCATTTTGAATAATCTGTCGAAGTCAGGAATGTAATAAGTACTCAAAAACTTTACTTAAGTGAAAATACAGATATTCAGTGAAACTTTTACTCCGTTAGAAGTAAGGAGATTCTTGTAATTGCATAGGAAAATGAATTGCATAAAATGCTTTGTCAGACAGACAGACATACAAAGATTTGGTTAAAGGGAGAAAACAAAACAAAATACAACGGCACAGGTCAAAATACTCTATCTTAAAGGGATCCTCCGTCCTTTACATCCTCATATCATCCAATATGTATATGACGTTACAGTACTTCTTCTGATAAAGACAAAAGAAGAGTTATAGAAAAAAAATAATCATCTCTCTGCATTTAAAGCAAGTGTACCCTACACAGAGTGAACACGACGGTAATCCATATGACCCCAGTTGATGAATCAATGTCTTCTTAAGCGAAATGATAGGCATTAGATTAATGAGCAAATCTTGTAATTATTTACATTAAAAAAATTTATTGACAGTCCCATTCGTTACTCAGTATACCTATACACCTCAGTACTCAATACCATGTTAACATGAGCTGTTTCTCTACTGCCTGACAATTTACATTTGGATTATCAGAAGCAGGGTCAGGAATTAACAGAGCTTGGGGCAAAAATGTCCTCAAAATTAAAGATATAGGGGCAAATATTTATAATATATGATCTTGTTAAATAATATCACACAAGCAAGAGTACTGTTTACTCTGAATATCTGCACGATTGCCAATATGATATTAATGTTATACAATTAATTTTATTTCTTACATTCTAGACACAAAATTGGCTTGTTTTGCTCTATTTCACCAATAGTTCCAAACAAAGCCAGGGCATAACCGTTATGTATCTCAAAGAAAACCACAGAGCAGTGTTTCGTTAATGACTGAATCTCGTTAACATGAGCTGTTTCTCTACTGCCTGACAATTTACATTTGGATTATCAGAAGCAGGGTCAGGAATTAACAGAGCTTGGGGCAAAAATGTCCTCAAAATTAAAGATATAGGGGCAAATATTTATAATATATGATCTTGTTAAATAATATCACACAAGCAAGAGTACTGTTTACTCTGAATATCTGCACGATTGCCAATATGATATTAATGTTATACAATTAATTTTATTTCTTACATTCTAGACACAAAATTGTCTTGTTTTGCTCTATTTCACCAATAGTTCCAAACAAAGCCAGGGCAGAACCGTTATGTATCTCAAAGAAAACCACAGAGCAGTGTTTCGTTAATGACTGAATCTGCGTTTATGTGTTAAGGAATCAGGTGAGTCAGTGATTCAATTATCCATTCATAAAGACAGTCACTTGCTTCATTCCTGAATGAATCAGCCATTATGAACAAATTGATTAATGGTTCACTGAAAAACTCACTTGCTGCCATCTACTGGTGGATTTAATTTAATATTTAAAGTAGCATTTTTTTAAATCATCCCACATTTCCATATTCAACATTTTTAAAGCATTAATCTCACAACATTATGCAATTGTTATTGCACTGTAAATGCATTCATGCCACCTCTGAGCTGCATTAAGCAGTTGGTGTAAATATACCTTAATTTCATTTCAAAGCTTGTTTGCCATCTGTGCAATGTAAAGATGACTTGTTAATGCTGATTTAATTTGACTGATAAATGGTGATTTGAGTAAGACTTTTAACTAATTTATAAATTTACATTTAAGAATTTGACATTAGATATATACATTTAATTAGGTTAGCAAAAAAAATGCTTTTAGAAATGTACCATCTGTGCAATGTAAAGATGACTTGTTAATGCTGATTTAATTTGACTGATAAATGGTGATTTGAGACTTTTAACTAATTTATAAATTTACATTTAAGAATTTGACATTAGATATATACATTTAATTAGGTTAGCAAAAAAAATGCTTTTAGAAATGTAAAAAAAAGAAAAGAAAAGGAAGTCACACAACCTGTTTTGTAACCTACTAGATTTTTACATGATCATTTTTGTGTAATCAAATAATACAAAAGTACAGTTTTATAGTTCGTATGAAATATTTATGGAAGGTACATTTTCTCAATTCAGGCAGTTGAACCAAAGAGTATTATGAATCCGGCTTATATGTCTGTATGCCCATGGTAGAGACTTTTGAAAGCAAATCCCTGCCGTAGGCTGTGGCAGAACTGCCTCAGGAACAGGTAATGTGCTAAGGATCGTTGGGTCAATATGTTACTGAGGAGATGAGAGGCGCAGAACCTTGGTGAGCCTGAGACATAGCGCAAAGCTGGGGGAAAAGCCCAGGGGGACCTGCCTACCCAGGAGGGCCGTGACGTTCACTGACCGTGAAACTGACAAATGGCCAGTAAAGCAGCCGCAGCGGTGTGCATGCGCACTGACAAGCCAGCTGAGCTACGTGACCATAGGCACACATGTGCACACTGAATTAAATCTGAAGCTAAATGCTAGCTTCCTGTCACACTCTGTAATGATACGGTACAAAAACGCTCGTTCACACTCGTGGGCTGCCATGTTTAAAGCTTACAACACTTCTAATTTAGAGACCTTTACTGTTTTACACACTCATCCCCTCTGGCACTTTGATTATATATAGCAATGCACAGACACATGCTCTTCTTACTGTACTCTTCTGGAAAAATATGTCACATCGTTTTGAGAGCTGTAGATTGTCCGACATGACGGGCACAAATCCTGCCTCCGGTTTCACAGCCACGGCCTTGGAGAGAGTCAAGGAGGAACGACGCGAATTCAGACGATGCTATATCAATCTGCAGAGAGAGGAACAGGATGACTTACAGTACCACCTGTGGTTCTTCACAGATGTGTACAGGAAGCATCTTACAGCCATTAAACTGTCTGAGAAATGACTTTGACTCACCTCAATGGATCAGGTCTTGATACTCACTAGTTAAAAGCTTTCAGGGATCTATTTATAGGACAATTTACCCGACGCCATACAAGCTTTCAGCTTGTGACTCAGCTAATTTCAAGCAATGGCTCATGCAGTGTACAGTACACACACAGGATATTGCCCACCAGCTTGCTCAGCTCTGTATTTTCGAATGCTTCATCACAGATAGATAATCTCTTTTAAACAGATCTCTTATTCATTAATCTTAGTGCAAGATTAACATTTGTGCTCCATTCGATTTTTCTTCCCTGTCTTCTGTCTTAAGTGTGAATTACTTCCCGAGATTCTCGAGTGGATTAAATGAAATTGACAATTGAGTGTTTGATTCAGCAGTTCTTTATCATTGCCTAATCATCTGTTTTGAAGTCAGCATAAAGTCTTATGAAACCTATTTACTTTCTTAATACATGTCCGTGGTCTTATTGAAAACTATTTATCAGTTCACAGGCGGGGAAAACGATTCTCTGTAGCTACTGTACAGGCATTGTTTGCCTAACAACAGTTTTTTGCCTTGTTAAACTACTGTTGTAGATAGCATAACTATTCTAAAATATTACCAATAGTTATAGTTGCTGATGCCATTATTAAACATGAATGTGAGACAGATTACAGCAATAGGAAATAATTATACATTTAAAGGGATAGTTCACCCCAAAATTATATATTTTACCCACCCTTAAGTTAAGCAAAGAAAAGGATATTTAAAAGAAATATCAGTTGAAATGAAAAAAAAAAGTCAATGTCTACCGCCAACTATTTTGTTACCAACGTTCTTCAACATATCTTCCTTTGTGTTCAGAAGAAACTCATACAGGTATGGAACAATGTAAGGGTGAGTCAATTTTGGGTGAACTATCTCTAAAATAGACGCAGTAGCAATGGTATATGTGAAGATACTTTAAAGAAGGGATATATGCTTATTGCTTGGTCGTTAGCCTGATGGGACCAAACTCCCTTTGTGATTTTAAAACATAAGACAGTACCCAGATTTGAAGACTACAGTAAGATTTAACTTCTACTGTTAATAAGATTTTGGTAGGCTACTATTAGATGGATAGCCTAAATGTCCTAATTCAGATGGGCTACCTGTTTTTTTTTTTTTTAAAGTGTATATTTTTTTTATGTGATTGTTGGTACATTTTATCAGTTTTTACCATACTTTCAAAACAAAAATTAAAATAGGAAAAATATGCAATATGAAAATAATTGAAGACAAAATGTGTTTTACTGAGAAAAAACAAGATTTGGCTTTTAAAAAGCCTTTTTCCAAAAGGTACATCTGGAAAAAGGGGGGTCGTCTTATAATCACGGTCGTCTTATATTTGGGCCAATACAGTATTATTTACAAAATTGTTATACATTAAAATTCTGTCACATTCTAGACTTGTAATTCTGCTAAGAACATGGTTGTCTGGCAGAGTCAGAACCTTGATTGCAGACATATGGTGCAGTAGCTCCTCGGGCTTCCCGTGTTCGAGTCCCAGCTCATGCAGTGCCAACATGGATATGGCATGGACAAGAGACTTAATTAAATTTAAGATAATGTTACAAGAATGAAACCTATTGCACATATGCAAATGAACTACAGTACATTATATAAGTATGTCCAAATTTATTTGCATACATAGTGTTGGGGGAATATATACTAATATTATGTAGCATATCTCAACTGCTTGTATTTTTGCAAATTGTAAACTACTGTATATTGTCTCCCAGCTCTAATCTGCTAAATATGACTGTAAGGCATGAAGATATTAAGATATTACAAACCTTAATATCATGATTTTCTGTAAAGCTGCTAAGAAACCATGTGTATTGTGAAAAGTGCTAAATAAATTTGACTTGACTTGGCATGAATGCAAATTTACCGTCAGGTTGGGCTCTATTATAGAATGAAACACCCACTTTTCATGATCAAGTCAAGTCATTTCTTGTTGAATATCTTGTTTTACTTTTATATACATCACATTACAAAAGTAAAATGGGTTGCAAATACTGTTTCATGCTGACTTGAAAGCTCTCTCTTTATCTATTCCTCATTTACATAGATTAACCATCCATGCTGAGTGCCCTATGCATCTGGAGGATTTTCCTATGGATGCCCATGCCTGCCCGCTGAAGTTCGGAAGCTGTAAGTTATTCGCTGTTGTCGTCATTGAATTTTTCTAGATTGTGTAAGTGACAGCTGCTCAGGATCTCTGGAGTATTTTATAAGTATATTGACATGCATGTTGCCTTGTGCGCATGTACCCTGCGCTCTTAGCTCAGTCATGAGCTTGACATCGAAATCTGTGTAACATACTGAACTGGATCAGGTGGGTGCAGGTTGAGCATCTAACTGCCTATGACAACAGACAGACTCTTGTTTGTCTTAAAGACAGTCCAGATCAGAAAAAAAATCTTAGTAGCTAATCTTCTAGACACAGCCCAGAGAACCCAATAACACAGTGTCTTTCTCCACAACTCAGAATGGTACGTAATGTCACACCTGACACTGATTACCCATCTGTGTTTACGCCTAACAGTAAACAACATCTATCCAAGACAGCATTGTCATTAGAATACAACATAAAACCCCAAAGGCAGACCAAAAATGGACCTTGTTTCTTCTGTGTGGAGTCACCAGTCCTAAAACAAACAAATGTTTCGTAATTCTCCTCCTGTGCCGAGCTTTAGATTAATAGCCCAGCCAATGACACCAAAGGTCACCATGACGCAGCAGTCACACCTTTATGAATAAAACATCCCACTGGGCAATAAAACAAAAGTTCTCTGCTCATACATTTTCAGTAGTACCTTTTTACTCCCATAATACCTCTTTTTGACAGGCGCAGAATGGTGACCCCTCATTGGTTCTGTGATTCATGCAGCAGAAAGACAGCAAAGAATTGGCTCTTTAACAAGATATCATACAATGGGCTGCATAATTAGTGGCTTTGTTAATAACAGTTGATTATAAGCACTGTTTCCTTAATCACCCAATCAATCTGCTCTTTTTTGTTTTGTTTAGTTTTTTTTGTTCCCGACTTATATTTCAATTACAAAGTTGCATGTTCATTTGTATCTTTAAATATTTGTCAATATTTGTTTCAAGGCATGTTTTCCCACAATTTGGGTTGATTTTCATTTTGTTTTTGCATTGCTGGAGAAATGTTATCATTAATATTAATAACAGCTTGTTTATTCTCTTTAAAGCAAGCTGAGCACATCTTCAGCTACTGTATAATGAACGTGATATGATGAATAGCTCAAAATATCAATTTATATATATATATATATATATATATATATATATATATATATATACTGTATGTATATATACAGTATATATATATATATATTATTTTTTTATTTTTTTTGTCAAATAGACTATGATTTTCTGGTGCTAATTAATTGGTAATTGTCCAAATACATACCGATTTTGGTATTACAGTGCCAGAAGTGCCTGTAAGCATAATTATTATGCGTCGCTCTGGAATACTTCATTGTAATTGGTCAGTAGTGGCAACCAGTGTCTCTTATATCACTCTACAATCTCTTTCCTCTAATATTAGAAATTATTCTGATTTAAATTCAGATTAATTTGTGAGTATTTCTGTCAAATTCATAAAAAGAATACGCTCACAGAAGTAGTTTGATCATGAATCAGACACAATGTATATTTGGTTGTGTGTGCAAACATGAAGGACATCACGATAGAAAGACATGTTGTCTATAAACCTCTTTATATTTTTTAGCATCACATGATTGCTTGTAGTTTGGTTTTCTGTCTGCTTTGGCAAAATGGACCATTAACATGAACGGCATAAAAAAATCATCTTGATTATCAACCGCATTCTTATTTTTCTTCTGCTTATTTTTTTTCCATTATTTGGTCTGGTAAACAGGTAAAAGGTTCATTTCACCCCAGCAGAACGAGTGCCCGGCTTTTGTATGACTGCCAGCCATAATGAGTAGAGATCTAAAAACACATACAAGCTCCTCATTCCCTCGTTAATCAGCTACTCGTTTTAGATACACATTTTACATTAAACAACCCCTTGAAGTGTGTGTGTGTGTGTGTGATGTGTGTACCTGGTATTTATCACGTCCCCACAAGGACAGTAATACTAGTACATTTTGACTTTGTGGGGACATTTTTGAGGTCCCCATGAGGAAACAAGCTTATAAATCATACAGAATGAGTTTTTTTGAGAAAGTAAAAATGCACAAAGTCTCCTGTGAGGGGTAGGTTTAGGGGTAGGGTTGGTGTAGGGCAATAGCACATACAGTTTGTACAGTATAAAAACCATTACGCCTATGGAATGTCCCCATAAAACATGGAAACACAACGTGTGTGTGTGTGTGTGTGTGTGTGTGTGTGTGTGTGTGTGTTTTGGGCAGTGATATTTAACACAGGAAACACTCTATTGAGATATATAGACTATTATTGGACTGTTAATCAAATTATTGCAAGGTCATTCACATGAAAACAGTGATAGAAAATGATATTCAATTAAATATTTCCTTCTCCTATCCCATTTAAATTGCTTCTAATTCACCCTCTCATGTTCTGTTCTCTTTCTCTCTCCCATCCCCTTGTTAATTGAGTTTTAGCCCCAGGCACTAAATTTAAGACTTTCCTTGTAATGTGCCGAAAGTCTGTGACACCACTGACCTTTTCAGCCCATAGCCGTTTATTGCAAGCCAGACTCCCTGTAAATAAGAACCACGTTCTGCCAGTGTCATACAATTTAAATATATATTTAAAGATGGAATCATGCATTTCATTATCAATTAGTATTCATAATGGATAAAGTGGCATTAAACTTGATGTGTTCAGCTTTTGATTAATGATCTTCGAACGGAATAAAACAATAACGTTTCTCTGTGGCCATCAAAATGTAATTAGCAAACCTCTGCCGGCTGTGTGAATTATGTTTCTAGTGTTAAGCCTGCCAGCTTTTTTCCCGCTCTCTTGCTCACAGTCATGTGGGCGCACATGTGTCTGCATATGTGCGTTGTTTGTTTCTGTGCACGGACCCCAAGATAATAGTTTTTCATGCTCTTTTGCAAAGTTCATCCTTGTGTATTCAAACACAATGAGTATTGTGTTACGTTTCCTTATTATATACATTAGATTTAAGGAAGCCGCTAATCGGAGGGAGCAGTGGACCCATGGTTAGTCCGCTTTTATTAAAGTTGCATTCCAATTTCCCTCATTGAGATGCATTTATTCACTTTACTGCCCCCACCGCCCCGCCCCGTCCTGCCTCGCCTCGCCTATTTTATCATGAGCCCTGTTTTGTTCTAAAGTATGAATTTTCAATTGGTGATTTTCCAACCCAGTGACTATGTCATTCATGGAAATAGAAGGATTCTCTCAGAAGGCAAACAGACCAGTAAAATGTGTAATCTTTGTGTTAAAAAAATGCACGTTCGTTATCAGTATCTTAATTCTACAAACTTTTAGTTTACATGTAAAATAGGTTGAATTATAATTTATGCACTGCGTACACACCACAATATTTTTTGATGTGCAAAGAAATACTAGCCAAAACAAAATCCAAATATTGGTTTGTAAATGGTAAAAATGATCAGCATTGCAATTGTTTCTAAATCTCTCTCAGATGCCTACACCAACAATGAGGTTGTCTATATCTGGACAGCGGATGATGAGAAATCTGTTTCTGTGGCTCCTGATGGTTCTAGACTCAACCAGTATGACCTGTTGGGCCATGTCATTGGCAAAGAGACCATCAGCTCCAGTACAGGTAATTACATTTCTCGTTTGTGCCAGGGGAATTGATTACTTAGTGAAGTTAAAGCAGCCAAAAAGTGCTAATGAAGGTGATTATAATCTAGGCAAATGGTAGCCAATTCATTTTTTTTAACTTATTACATAATTTCCAACATTGCATTTCTATTATTTAATAGTTTTAATGCGTCATTTACTATTATGTCTATTATTTACTAATATATACACACCCATAAATATATCATAATATTACATAATAGTAAATGATGCATTGACCAAAAAGAGTGCATAATCAGTTGCTAAAAGCAGCATTTTCAGACCTGGTTCTACTGTATAACATGTTGGACCAAGCAAAAGTGAAGCAAGCCAAGAGACTGAGACGGTTTCAATAATGATGCAGTCATGATATTCTGATGAATTGATATATCAATTGGATTTATACGGAGTTACAGCATATTTATCACATTGCATATGATGGTAATTGTCAATATCCAACTTATTTTCCATTTTATACACCACCAAATCTCCTGTATTTACACTGAATGCTATGCAGTCAACCTTTTAAAAGGTATCCATGAAGGATATGAAAAACAGCTGCCTTCCTTTGTTTATCATTATTTGAGGCATAGTTGCAGATTCATGCTGGATATTGAAAACCTCTCTTTGCTTTTTTTAAACAGTTTATTTACAGTATATGCATGAGTCTGTAATATTCTCCTGTACATAGCCTTCCCTTTATGAAATCTCTCTCTTTGTAACTGACAACCTGAATTAAATTTAGCTTGCTTTCCACATGCTTTTTTTCTTTCTTCCAGCTTCAATATATGCTTACAAATTCAATTTGTGTCTGTTTGTAAAGTGATTCATCTAACCTGCTTTGCAAGCACCTAGCTTATTGATTGCTTTCTGCCACAGTTATTGGGGTCATACAGCCTCTGAGGAGCAGGAAGGACTCAAACAAGTATGAGTGCACAAGAAAAGTGTGTATGAAATTGACCCCAAGTCCACATTATTTGTGGTGCACTTCTTCTAAATCCAGTGCAAAAGAAATTGAGAGCCAGAAATCTTGCTTGTTTGTAGGTGACCAAATACTTATTTTACCGAGGAATTTACCAATTAATTCTTTAAAAATCCTACAATGTGATTTTCTGGATTTTTTTTTCTCATTTTGTCTCTCATAGTTGAGGTATACCTATGATGAAAATTACAGGCCTCTCTCATCTTTTTAAGTGGGAGAACTTGCACAATTGGTGGCTGACTAAATACTTTTTTGCCCCACTGTATACAGTATAATGTTCAAAACTCCATCGGTGACAAAAATGGAGAAAAAACCTTGGGAGAAACCAGGCTCAGTCGGGGGGCCAGTTCTCCTCTGACCAGACGATACCAGCATGGTATGGTTTAATTCCAGGCTGCAACACAAGTCAGATTGTGCAGAGGACTCATCTGGTTCTCGTGGTCTTGTGCCGATGGTCGACGAGGTCTTCACAGGGATAGTATGTGATAGTATCTTTCTCTAGGGTTCATCTAGTTGACATGGTCTCCGCTGACATTCAGGGCTGTAGAGGTCGTCTCTAGGTGCTGATCCATCATTTGGACTGGATACGGACTGAATCCGTGTGACTGCAGTGACCATCTGATCTGGAAACAGACTGATCTGGGTGGCTAAGGTGACCTCGGAATAAGAATAAAACAGACTAATATTAGCGTAGATGCCATTCTTCTTACAATGTAACAAGTACATTGGGTGTTATGGGAAGTGTTCCCGGTTCCGGTTGACCTAATTAATGCAGCCTAACAATCCTTTAACAGATCTGGATTATAGAAAAGAGATCATGTGTTATGTCTATCCCAGGTTACAAAGATGGGTCTTTAATCTAGATTTAAACTGACAGAGTGTGTCTGCCTGAGTTTGGGGGCTAAATAGGAAAAGGATCTGCTGCCCGCAGTTGATTTTGATATATTAGGTATTATCAAATGGCCAGAGTTCTGAGATCCCAGCGGACGTGAAGGACTAAAATGCGATTTGAGCTCGCTCAAGTACTGTGGACCTAAACCATTCATTTATAAGTAATTAGCAAGATTTTAAAATGTATATGATGATTAATAGGGAGCCAGTGCAGTGTTGACAGAACCGAGCTAATATGGAGATACTTCCTAGTTCTAGTAAGAACTCTAGCTGCTGCATTTGGGATCAGCTGGAGTTTGTTTATTAAAGGTGACATTGGATGCCCATTTCACAAGTTGTCATGTGTCTTAAGGGTATTTCTAAAATGTCTGTAACATTGTTTGGTTAAAAATTGCTGTCAAACAGCAAATGGAGAAAATATTACTGATAGGTTTCCCCGCAGCTAAACATACTAGTGCATACACTAACATTCATACAGACATAACATTCATACTGTTTTGTTTTTAATAAATGTTTATATGGTTCACCCTCTTTACCACATGCTAGGTTTCACGTCTTATGTCAATTTAGAGTGCTGATAACAGCAAAATCATCTTTCAGACCTAAGCTATCAAACAAATAACGTTAGCCAACCGTGGACTGTTACTTTCACAAATTCCTATAAAAAACTAGCTAGTTACGTCAAAACCGGCACCAAATTGAAATAGGTCGCTGGATAACACATTTTAAAACTCAGTTTATAACAAACTAGCTGCGTGTTTTCTTTTTTTAGCTTTTCTGAGCTGACAGACACCGCAGAAACCTAACTAAATGCAAAAAAAATCTACAAAAGTGAACATTTCATCCGATGTCATGTGGCGCGCAGAGCAACCACCCAATAAAGCATTACAATAATCTAACCTTGAGGTCATGAACACATGAATTAACATTTCTGCACTTGACGTTGGAGCATAGGTCATAATTTAGGTATATTTTTAAGATGGAAAAAATGCGGCTTTACAAATGCTAGAAACATAACTTTCAAAGGAAAGGTTGCTATCAAATAGCACACCTAGGTTTCTAACGGATGACGAAGAATTGTCAGCGCAGCCATCAAGTGTTCGACATTGTTTAGGATTTTGGTCCGACAATTAACACCTGTTTTTTTGTTTTTTTTTCTCAGAATTTAGCAGTAGGAAATTACTAGTCATCCAATGTTTTATATCAGATATGCATTCTGTTAGTTTTGCGAATCAGTCTGTTTCGTCGGGCCGTAAGGAAATATAGAGCTGAGTATCATCAGCATAACAGTGAAAGCTCACAAGACACAGCCTCTATAGTATGATATCTAGGTGAAAGAGTCTCTATGTGTTGAGAATTAACTGACTTCTGTGACATGAGGCGGCTAGCAGACGGTCAGTTTAGCAAGTCTATCTGCTTCCTGACCTGGGCCCCAGTTAGTCAAGTACAAACTCTAAGACTATGTGCCATATTTCTAGAGAGAAGTGCGGCACCACCCCTGGAGGGGTGAAGACCGTCTCTTTTCAACTGGTCAGGTCTGCCCCAAAAACTCGTCCAATTGTCTATGAAACCTATGTTATTCTGCGGGCACCACTTAAACATCCAGCCATTGAGTGAAGACAGTCTGCTATGTATCTCGTCACCATGGTAGGCATGGAGGGGACCAGAGCATATTACAGTGTCTGACATCGTACTTGCAAGTTCACACACCTCTTTAATGTTATTTTTAGTGATCTCCGACTGGCAAAGTCAAACATCATTAGTGCCGACGTGAATAACAATCTTACTGAATTTACATTTAACGTTAGCCAGCATTTTTAAATTTGCCAAGATGTCAGGCCTTCTGGCTCCTGGTAAACATTGGAATATGGTGTTTGGTGTCTCTATTTTCATATTCCATACTATAGAGTCGCCAATAACTAAGGCACCTTCATCATGTTTCTCAGTGGGTGCGTCACTGAGTGGGGAGAACCTGTTTAAAGTTTTAATCGGAATGGAAGGGCGGTGTTTTGTCTCGCGACTATGCCGCCTCACAGTCACCCAGTCGCCCTGCTGCGGGGGCTCTGCAACCGGAACCGAACAATGTACGGGACTCGCTAAGCAAGTCGTATTCAAAGCCACACCTAAGGCTTTTACATTCTTACTATCCTCAAATAAAGTTTGGATGTGTGTCTGTAGTTCTGAAATCTTCTCTGTTAGCCAACTATTTCCCTGCATTTATCACATGTGAATCCCTCGCTGCTGACAGGGAAGGCTACACTAAAACATAATATAATGTAACTAATAAATGGCTGATTTTAGCCATCATCATGATGTAGTTCCTGCATCTGTTGCCTCTTGGGCCTCTCCAATCACAAGCAGGGGATAATTAACATTTTAAACCCATGAAAGGACTGGGGGCGCTGTTCCATACAATGTATAAAAACAGTAAAATTGAAAAATAAAAGTCTGATTTTAAGTCAGATAAAACTGATTAAAATTAATGAATATGAGTTTAAAGTACATTCTCATCGAAAGAAAAAAAACTATGAATATAACAAAAATATTTAAATAAAAATAAGACTTGGCAGACTGGCAGTTACAGTGGGATGTAAAAGTAAGAAGTGTAAGGAATTTTAACTCAGTTGTAAGGGAATTAATTATTATTATTGATTCAGGTTTTGATAGGACTCGGATTTGAAGAGCCTAATTCAACCTGATTCGAATTGATTCTAAATTTGATAGTTTACACTCTATCAGCTACTCGGCCAGCGAGAAGTTGATGTCAGT